GATTGCTTTGGTAGATTTATGGAGGGACCACACTTGTTTGTAGTGTCAGACAACTTGATAGTGACACCATTATCTTCTCCATCGAGTATTAGCTTCCTAAAAGAACTTAATGTACCTCTCAATGATATTGAAGAGAAGGAAGAAACTATACGCGAAACTGAGGTAAATTCTGGAGTCAGTTTTGTTTTGTGTAGTATGGGAGATTGTAGAGCAATTTCTTTCTCCTCTTCAAACTCGTTGGATGAGAAATTGATGATTCGTGCTTCTGTAACAGGCTCTTGCTTTGTTGAAGGCTTCTTTAACTTCATCAGCTTTAAATAATTGCTTTAAGTCAAGTGGAAATCAGAAGTTCAACAAAAGGTATGATATCATTCATATGTCTTGTTGTTTGGTTAATTAGCACAAAACATCCCTATCGTTTGCACTCATTGTGCGAATCATCCATATCGATTTAAATTTGACATTTACAACCTTATTTCAACCTTTTGCAAAGTTGGCCCTTTCTGTCCATTCCATATGTTCCTTCCGTTAAATATACACGTGGATTGCATTTAGATCATATCAAAAAGCTAATTTTATCAAACCACTATTTTTCCTACTAAGGGCATGTTTGAGCTCCCTTTTTTTGTATAAAATGCATTTTGGAATAGTAGATTGATGGAGAATATGTGTTTAAAAATTAATGATTTTTTTTTATTTACGTGTAATATTATTTTATTGAATAATGTGTGATTAAAAAGAAGTGAGGAAAAAATGTATTTTGGAAAAATGGGGATGAAACAAGGGCTAAGTAAACGTGAAGGCTTGCAAACGAATCATATTGCAAAAAAGGTGAGTTGAGACAAAATCCCCAATTTCTTCATTTTCCCAGCGAAGGACCCTAGTCCACTACTTGTTTGCACTCCATTCTACTACTCTAGTTAAGTTATAAATATGCAATACTAGTGATTTTACATATTTTCTATGGAGTTCTCTGAGATTTATGCTTGAATTCATATGGAATGATAGGTATTTTAGTCAAGTATATTCCATTTTACTAGAATACTTGTGGCTATGAAGTTCTTTGCCCAAGTTGATTAGTTTGTGTTGTTTCAAGATCACCACTTAATAATAGAGTTTCTCCTATAATATGGTGACTATGTAATCTGCCCAACATCTCAATTAAAAAAAAAAAAATGGTTTTCGTGCTTTCATTTTTTGTTTTTGTTACCTAATAAACAACCCTCGTTATTAAATATGTCCATTTAACTAAAGTTTATGTGCTTTCATTTTTTGTTTATTCAAATGTGGGAATAGCAGCAACCAGTGGGTATTCTGTCCATGTAAGATTCAAAAGTCTGTTCATTATCATTCTATGCTTTCATTTTTTCAGTTTTCAGTTTTTGTTTATTTATAAGTTTCTGTACTTCTTTATTGAGCTTCCTTTAATATCTTGTCCATATAGAAATAAAATATCCAAGATTCAGAATTTACCATGAGGAGGCACCTGAATACAGTTAGGTAATTTTAATTTTTAATTTTTTTCCCTTTTGATAAGGGCTTGTAATTGCATGCACGTAATTATGCAGCAGAAAATACATCTGTAATTCATTACCATGTTCATACAGGTCCAAATTACATTTCTAGGAAGGGACTAGGTGTGATATGTTGTTGAACAAACCATGTGAATCTTTCAACCGTGCTAATTACACCTTGTTGTTTTCAACTGTGCTACTTGTACAGGCTCAATGATAGGATTCTTTTTAGAGATAACACATGGCGACATTTGATTAGATGTTGCCAAAAAAAAAAGACCATAAAAGTGCTGCCAGCATAGCACCTGTAAAAGATCTGTAAACAATTCCCATGTACAAAGGGAATTGTCTAAGTTATGTTTCTGGTACCGAAAAAGTTTGATAAAATTCGTACAGGACACTTTGCAATTTTTTTATGCAGGGAATTGTTTGAATTGCCCCGTTGTTTTTTATTGTTGTTAGGGATTGACAAGGCTGTTCTTATGCTAATGGGTTATGTTTCTCAATTAATGGTGTTGAATGCCCAAAAAGGTTGACTCTTGCCTAATTGGACACCAACTGGTTTTTAGATGACATAGTTAAATCTTAAAACTTTAATCTAACAAGTGAGTTCAGAATTAAGGGTTGTATGGATTCGAGTCAGAGTACCATGTTGTGGGAGACATGTGATCGTGGTTCAATGATTTGAAAGATTTAGTCTAACCTCATTTTAAACCAACTGATTTTTAGATGAGATAGTTATTTGATTTTAACAATTGTCTCTACGTTGTTAAATTTGTGTTCAGCATAAATATTTTGTCTTGCATTATTAAAATCATAATATGAAGTCTTTATTATACTGTGGTAATAGTATTTATCTTCTTTTGTAGTGATGTGGCTAGGAAATAGCTTTGGAGCAAACGAGGATGCCTAGCCATTTTCTCAGTGAACTCAAGAATAGAGTCGCTTTTGGTTCTCTGTTTTTTTGTCCTCCGATTTAGAGAATTTGTTCAGTTTTTGAAAGAATTATCTGATGTTGGAGCGATGTTTTTTAATTTTCCGCATGTGTCAAGGTATGTTTAAGCTCATTTCTCCAGAATTTAATTATCGAAGAAACTTTATTCCCTATGTATAATTCTTGGTGGAAGAAATGGTATTTTAAAATTATAACTTAAACCTGTAAAATAATTGAATTTAAACGGTAAGATGCAAATTGAAGACGAAAAGATTCATCCAAGGAAATTACCACCACCTCCAAGGCCTGTCATGCCAGTGCCACCTTTTCTCGGAAAGATCCTAAATCATACATAAGAACTACAACCTGATATTATCAAAGCCAAAATCTTCGACAGGCCTTGCCTTCAGAACCAGTTTCCTTGGCAAGCTTTTGACTCACTCGGTGGCCTGCAACAAACCCAGGTCAGTTTTTTCTCCAAAGAACCAAACATTATATTTGAATATCCGTTTCCTGTGAATCCCCGTCAACCTTCTGATTATGCAATGCCAATCAATCAAGTTCTGACTCCCCCTCGATTTTGTTATGTTCCTACTGGAAGAGAATAATTTTATGGAGTTCCCTACAATATGCCAAGGCCAGATTCAACTTCCAAATAGGGTTTGTTTCTAGGTTTCCAGCAGGATCCTGCTGGAGCCATGAATTTTGCAGGAAATTATCCTCAGCCATGGAATTTGGGGCCTGCTGCTGAGCCTTTTGAACCTCCTCTCGTAGGCCAAGGTGATTGTGGTCGAAGTATGGGGGTTTTACCTCCAAACCTGTCTCCTCCTTCAGCCAATAAAGAGAAGGAACATGGCAGGGTGGGAACATTGTGGACGGCAAGATAATGATGGCCCCACAATCCGTGTCCCTTCCACCACCATCACCACAGCCACCGACACCTCCAACCCACTTATCACAGCTTCACCGAGGCAGGTTGTACTCTGGTGACGCTGGCCATGATGGTTCACCGGGCTTTGGGTGGCAGCACGAGAAACGTGATAGCTTTAGAAGTGGCCAAGATAATTAGTGAATACAATTAATTTTGTTCTTCCCCTGCTCATATTCACGTGGATGATGTTGAAATTGTAGGTTATGTTTGACCATTATAGTATCTTGCATGTTTTCTTAATGCCGTAGATGATGCTAAAATGAATTTTGTTTTAGACAAGGTTTTCATTTCTTATATGGATTTACACACAACTTTTCCTCCGTCGTGATGGCAGTAGGGCTATCATGTTGAATTTGCAATTCGAGAATGGTGATTTACATAACCCTAATTAACATTATCGAAAAAAACTCGGCTTAGAGTTAAGACAAAGCAACACATGTACACAATTAACTTAAGTCATTGCATGTTTATGATCTTAAAGCTAGCACTGTTAAGTGCCTAACAGAATCACCAAATTCAAGGGAGAAGAAAAGACCCAACAAAAGGAAATGTAAAATTGAAGAAAACATATTATCAAAAATCAACTTAATTTCTTCTTTTCCACTATCCATTTTTGAACCTTGCTGATAAATTGCGCATCAAATCTCACGTATAAAAGCTGTGAGTACCTGTACCTTGTTAGAGCATATCTATCAATATGGTCTTCATACCTTTCATAAAGTGCTGGAACTGTAAGAAGAGTAACAAGGCCTGACAATTACAGAGATAAGCAAGATGAGGAAACGTGAGTTGGGTAAGCCTGATGAGAAGGGGATACCTTCATAATTGTAAATGGGAATTACAAGAAAATGAACTAACCGGTGTAGATAAATGTGAGAAAATCAGTGAGGCTCCCAATGACAGAGATCAACAATAGACTTAGAGCTACTTTCACGAACATTCTCGAGTCCCTACCAAGCGCGATATCCTCAGACACACGGAGCAGGACATTTATATGATTGCGGATGAAAGTAGCCGCATCATTCGTGATTTCTTCTGATATATATAAATGTGGTAGAGGTGGAGCGGGTCTGTTACAGATCATTTGCAGAATTATTAAACATGAACAACATTTTAAAGTGCTGATATTTATCGTCATGGTCGACTTCATTGGAATAAAAATGTTCTGGATTTATCTTGATGGCATAGTTCGTTTTTAGATGAAACGAACAGTTGAACAACAGGATTCGTACATTATCTGACTTTAGAGTTAATCATATTTAACCTGAGCATGCATTTGAACTGATGATGAAAAAAGAAATTATTATACCTAAGATGCGGTAATAGCATGTTTTGTACACCCAATATTAGAAAGTACAGTATAATGAACAACATTTAGCCATTTTCTTCTTCTTTAAAGTTGACCATTATTGTCTGCCTCAGTAAACATGGTGGCTTGTTCAGAAAATGGGAATGCACATTTACGCCTACATAGTATCAAAGAAGAGAGACGCATCCTATCTAATACAAACTACTAAACATATCATGACCGTTTATAGTTTCCAATAAAAAAACAAAATTATATGTTTGAATGTGAATTTCATGCTGACATTGCATCTTTTCTATGTAATTCATGCATTTGCCAAATTAAGATGAAGGCGAAGCCAATTAAGCCTTAAAAAGTTAGATCAAATGATACACATCAGTTCCAACGTAGCTGAAGGCTATCATTTTCTTGTTTCAAAGTGCGAAAAAAAAACTTGCACAGAGATCACTGATTGGTGTGCTTAGGTTGCCACAGGGGGTGACACTAAATCAAGTCTAGACTCCCCATTCTATGTTTTTTTAAGTAAGCATCCCATTAATCCAATTCATCATCTCAATATTGCTCAAATACTACAAATTCTAATCCATGATAAAAACAGATTTGAATAGCTATGAAGATTTGTGGAAAAAGTGCATGACCTGTTTAAAATAGCTGCTGACTTTGCCCAAAGAAAAAGAATGCTAAACAGGAGCAAATAAAGACTTGAGGCCAATGATAATAGTATAACCAGATCTCTCAAAAACCACCCAAATAGCCAAAGCTAGCACTAATATTCCCACTGTTAAATTCTTTTGCCTCCATAGCATCACATCTGCAACTGCACCAACACAACACACACATATTCAACTTCTAATTTCCATAAATACCAAACACCATAATGTGAAGTTATGACATCAAAAATATTTTTCCAATCATTCAAAAAATAATGATCAGAACGCAGAATTGCAAATTTTCAAAATCAATGATCCGAAATTGTTTTTGAAAAAGCATCAGAGAAGTGCAGACTTACCAAGGCCTCCTCCAAGGATCTGATGAATAGTTCTCTGCCTGTTAATCAACCGATCTGATGACCCATTTTCAAGAATTCAATGACAGATAGAACCCCCACGCACTATTGATTTGATTACATTTACCTTTATTAAAAAAAAAAAACTGTTTAAAGCATTGAATTTGCCCTTTTACCTGGCCCCGTAATGATTTATTTATCTGTTCGTGTTAGTGCATATATATAGTTAAGTGGATGTATGTTGACAAGTTTGGTTAATAGTTCTCAAGTTCAACGTGGGTGCATATATATCGCCTTAAAGCATGAAAATGCTTTTCTAGTTGGTTTTCTTTTTCAAATCAATAGAAAGTTTTCTTAAGAAAGTTGCAAGTGGGTCCTATGTCGAGTAGGGTGGGGAGTGGGGGTAGGGTACGAGGACGTTTTTTGAAGATTGGAGAGACGGGCATTCCATTCCTTTAATTGTCTCATTTCTTTCTTCAACGATTCTATAATCACCATTCAAATTATGAAAAATCGAACATCGAGTCATTGAAAATGTTAACACCTCATTATCGCATAGAACACATATCCACTTTGTTTCTCTTACCAACTCGAACGTCAAGGTGTCGGGATTTGAGTGACTCGAGTTCTAAAGTGTCGTTATTTAAGTAAACAGTTCTATAATGTGTGTACGTATGAATGTCCAATTGAAGCTTTTCTTGTGGCTGATGACCTCATTTCACATAAACGAATAATCACTTAGACCCTGGATAAATAACATTTGAACGATCTGATAATTTGAATTTCGAGTAATTGTCTACTCTTGACAATTCTTTGGACGACTAGATATGTCTTTCGAAAAGTTTAACCATTAAAGTAAAATTTTAATCCTTAATTTAAATATGTATATAAGATGATCCACAACTTTTATCAATTTTTAACTACAATTTTTTTCAACTTTTATCAAAATCTACTAAAAATTTAACTTTTAGCTAAATCGCTAAAATTCTTTTATATGTATTAGTTGAAAATTGAGAATGCCTTCTAGAAAAAATTGAACAAAGAGCAACTGTCAAGGCTTTCAACAGCATACATCCTAAAGAGAGAGTACCCCAACAATACATGATTGAAAGAAATTATTTGGGTGAGGGTAAAATATTGCATTTGACTTACATTTTTCATATAATTCTTTACTATATAAAACCAAACAGTATATATTTGTTTAACAATATCAAGATTAAAGACTGGAAGCACACAACTATAATGGAACGCTAGATTGCTGATTAACTTGAAAGATGCTTCTGGTCATGCCTTTTCTTCGTTGCTGTTTTTGTTTTCATTTTCCGTGATACTTGCCTCTGTTTTGATGTCCTGCAATTAGTTGATCAAGCTGGCAGCTATTGCAGCTTTTAAATCTTTGTCTTCATCGTCTGACAATATTTCTAGTTGTCCATGCTGTAAATAGGGATCAGGAGGATGCGCCCTTGGACTTGATCTCGAAGCCAAGTTGCAAGACTTGGTAATCCTCTCAACCTCATCAGGTGACAACCACTCCCCGTAACACCATTGGAGGCTTCGGAGAATGTGATGGGGGCACTCCTTTGGGAAATTTCCCTTCACCAAGAAAATGCTCCAGCCAAAGCCTTTCAAAGAGTCGAGGTAGGCTGAAAGGTAAAACTTGGAGAGGTGCTCAGGTGCTACATAGAGGATGCCAAAATTATACCACTCTCCATTTACTTTCCTTGTACAAAACCAATGGTCCCGCAAATGACAAATAAATGCATTCTCCAGTTCTAGGTCGATCTGAGAAGGTTCCCAACATGGCTGTTAAGGGTAATAACTTGCATGTCCCACCTCCAAAGCCTTTTCCAATACCTACAATCCAAATTTTAAAGTTACAAAAGGTCCTCCAGAGACATATTTACTACATTTATCTAAGAACAAACAGATAACTTTGAGGGTCCGAGGCGGGGGGCAAACACTACAAAAGCTTTTATATAAAAAATTGTCAAAAGTAAATAGTTGAAACTTTGTATTTCCTCAATAGAACAAGTTCTCTGTGCTATCCATTAGTACACTAAGGCCCGTTTGAGCTCCATTTTTGGTGTAGAATGCATTTTGGAATAGTAGGTAGATGGAGAATGTTCGGTTAAAAAATAAGGAAAAAATTTGGATTTGCGATTAATATTATTATATTGAAGAATGTGTGGTTGAAATGAAGAGAGAGAAAAATGTATTTTGGAAAAAATGAGGATCAAACAAATGCTAAATAAAGCATCAAGAACCGTACTTTACATCGACAAGCAACGAAACAGTGTTTTATAAAATCAAGGCATTCAGTGCAGATAAGAAATCTGATCTAAGACTCCTCACTCAAACGGAATACACATTCGACCATCACAATCCTGCATCAGTATTCTTTCGTAAAGATAAACTCGTCTCTCAAACCTTCTGTCTTCCACTCCAAATTGACCCATTGTTTTATTTAATTGAGACCAACATCACCACGAGCTAATCACGAATGCCTAGCCCGAGTTAATGAACCCATCCTTTCTCTTTTTATTACTAGTGTTTATTATAGGATTTTGCTTAGGACTACGTTGGCTTTTTCCAAATGGAAATGTGAATTTTGAAATCAAGGGTAGCCAAATTTCTCATTGGTTTAATTAGCATAGTTTAATATATTTTCTACGTTTGTATATTTTTAGGCTCTTTAAAAGTTAATAGAATGCTTAAAAATCAGAGTTATGAACACCCTTACTCTTTAGAAATCAATAGAATACTATTCTTGTACACCAGTCATTAGGAATCTATATGATGAGAGGAGACAAAGAAAATTTGGACAAGAACATAACTCAAATTGTTATTACATATTTACTTAATAGTAAAATCATTAAGCATCCAATACTTTTGTCATATCTCCAAACTCAAAATCTTAACTTCGTCACCTTATATAAATAACTGCTAGATTACGGTGTTTTAAAAGGCTAAAATTTTTAAAATCATGTTGGGCAAAATAAATCCAATTACTAGGCAGAAAATCATAGGGTTTAAGTCAAGTAATGTTATTTAACGTCACTGGCATTACAATACCCGTCTAGGTGTTCCTAAGTGGCACTAAATAAGATATACAATTAAATGAGTTACATAATTCTACTATTAAGTGAATACGTCACATAATACCATCTAAATTGGTGGCGTAGTATCGATAATGTTAAATAGTATTATATAATCATGAATGCGTTTGCTAGGCACCAAACTGAAACAATTCAACTCGGAGAATCTGTCTTAATGTGAATTGGACATTTCCTTTCCTTCCTTTGAGTTGTTAAATATTTCTTTCTTGATCAATAATTAATAACACTTTCCAGTTCATTTCTTTTTTTCTTTTCATATTGGTGACTACAAGTAGAAAAATAATAACAATATAAAGAGGTTTTTTTAGATAGATATGTTTGTCACAATGACAACAAAAAATTATGTCTTATTTTTTATGTAAACAAATTACAAAAAATATGGCTTTATTTATAGAGTTGAATATGTTAAGATAAAATCTTATCTCAGCTGATTATGAAACAATCAACCTATAAGGAGTTAACAAGTTACTTGAATATGAACAATCAAACATATAAAGAGGTGGTTATTTCTTTTAAAATAGAATCTCAAGTAAAATTCAAGAAATTTAAATGAGCAATTTGATCTTTTTAAAATTCAGACGAATTGTTGAATTTTAAGATTGGAGTACTAGAACGAGCTATAGGAAATGCAAAGGATAGTTGGTACCTTGGGTACCTTTTAACTATCTTGAATGAGTATGTTAAGAGTAAAATTTCATACAAAGTTATCTTTTATTCTGTAATTCAAGATTCAACAATAAATAACATAAAAAGAAACAAATTGTAAGCTCACATAAATCTTTATATAAGTATTACACAAACATACATTTATAAAAAGTTCACTGATTTCGTTTTTGAACATAACTTCAACTCCCTTGAAAGGACTAAATCGGCAATTAAGATAACCGAGCATAGAAGGAAGATTAGAAAAGTTAACGACGAAAGAGTTGCCTGGGTGATTGATTGACCATTGGCTCTTTAAACCTTGACACCCACCTTCCTAACCCGTTGTCTTAAGCTTCCTGCCCTCTATTTGTTCTTTCTTTCTTTCTTTGAATTTGCTTCACTTCTCTCCCTTAGCTACGCTTCTTGGCTATCGTAGTTGAGTTGAATTTGAACTATTCAATCGAGTAGCCGAATTCTAAAGAAAATTCATTAATATCCCTTGACCTAACAAAAACACTAATGAACCTAACAAAATCTCGATTACAAAAGAAAAACTCACACATCTTTTGGTTCTGACTTTTTTTATGATGAATCATTCTCTCTCATGAAATAAATCCTCTGGTTGGGAAGAGAAAGGGACAACAAAACTAATGGAGTATACGAATTTAATGATTTTGGATGTCATTCATGTTATGAATTGAAGTTTTAGAATTATTAGCCATAAAAAGGTAAATGTAAGAGCATGTTAGGGAGAGTTTTTTTCAAGTGAAGAAAATATGGACATTAAACATTAATGATTATCATCACCAATCCATAACAAAATAATATTTTGATATTTAAAAACCGTGTATATGGAGAAATTCTATCATATTATAATATAAGGGAAAAATATATCTTTTTTACGAAAAATAAGTGCAAAAAGAAAGAGAAAAACAATCGCATACACTCAATATATGGGGGCTCTGGGGAGCCTCCTATGAGACGGCCGCAAGCTATTTCTATCACAGTTTTGCCAGATTTAAGGGTAATAGGGGACTCCACTTTAGCGTTCTCTTTTGGAAGTGTAAACGTAAAGGCTCTCAACTGAAATTTGTGTTTTCAAAGTCGGAAAAAGTAAAGAGACATTCTTGCCTTCAGTCAAAACTAGGTTATAAGAGTCTTAACTTCTGATCAACCAAGCCAACGTGTCTTTGGATGGAAACAATTCGTTCGGCCATCCCCGCCGTCAACAATTCGTTCGGCCATCAATTGCGATTTGCTCCTACTCGTGGATTTGTATTACTCTCAGGTGAGTACGCTAAAGTTAGACATTTCATCATGTTTGTAAGTTCGAAGTCATTTTGCTTCCGCATTTTCTCAAGTAGACGGCAAGATGCGATCCCTGTTTTTCTTCACATTACTCTCTATCCCAGGTTGGTTATCAACTGCATGCAGGCTCGTCCACACTCGTCGATGTCAATAGTGATGAAGGCTCCCTAGTGAGAAAAGTTGATCGATGGATAATGAATTTAGCTCAATACTCAAGTGCATTAATTCAGCCTTGAGCTGGTATTTAATTACAAGAGAAGGTTCTAGATTATACAAGTGTGATTGAATCCTAAAATCAAGGAGTTTGTTAGAATAAAATTACAACAGATTGGTGGTGGAAGCATGATGGCAAACAGACGAGTGGGCTGCTGATATAGTATCTGATATGCAGCAATGCTGAGCTGGAAGTAATGCTGAGCTGGAAGACTTATTATTAAGCTAATTCTTTTACACCCCCCGTCAAGTTGGATGGCACAGGTGTGACTCAAAGCTAGTTCTTAAGAAAATGGAAACTTGATAGAGAAAGACCATATGTTAGTAAATCAGCGATCTGATCTGAAGAGGGCACGTACTTCACTTCAAGATC